CTGCTGATGGTGGTGCTGCTGCTGGTGCTGGTGGGGGCGGGGGGAAGGGGGAGCAGAGGGGTGTTGCTGGGGAACAGGCGGGGGAGCCGGCAGCAGCAGCAGCAGCTGCTGCAGCAGCAGCAGCAGCAGCAGCGGCGAGGCGGCGAGGCGGCGAGCGCGAGCGACCGGCGCGGGGGCGAAGCCGCCGAGAAGCAGCCGCGGAAACTCCCGGGAAATTATCAAATGAAAAGCAGAGACTCAAAGGCCTTTGCTGCTGCAGACGCCGCGGACGCGCGCCAGTCAACAACGCCAGCAGCAGCAGCAGCAGCAGCAGCAGCAGCAGCAGCACCCGAAGCGGCTCGAGACGACGTCGATGCTGCTGCTCCTGCCCTGCAAGTCTCTCCACCCTACGCGTTTTCCTGAAGTCACTCTCCGTGAATACTCAAAAAGGGAATTTAAGGGAAAATGTCGTAGCCCTGCAGCAGCAGCAGCAGCAGCAGCAGCGCCTCAGCTGCTGCTGCTGCTGCTGCGGCCGGACTAGCGATGGTGGCCGGCTTAACTGCTGCCCGCGCCGCCGCTGCTGCAGCTTTCCCACCCTGCGGGCCCCCGCGGCCCCTCTTTTCGATAAAAAGACAAAAACTGCGAATTAAATAATATATTTGGCGCAAAAGGGCCCCCAACTGCTGCCAGGCAGCCAAACTCAGCACAGCCACAGCCGCTACACACGCCCCCTGGTTGCCCAGAGAGATCGGGGGGCCCCCGGGGGCCCCCCTGCCGGCACCTGCAGCTCTAGGGTTTGTTTCTATCTTTCTTTAGAGGGGAGACACGCAAAGGAGGGATTATTATGTAGTCTTGTGGCTGCAGCAGCAGCAGCAGCAGCAGCAGCCACTTGGTGCTGCGCTCCACCCGCGAGACCCCACGGGCCCACAGGGGCCCTCCCCTCCCCGCCTCGCAACCCCGGGGGGCCCCCCCATGCAGCTGCTGCTGCAGCTGAAAGGGGCCCCCAATCTGCCTTCCTAAGGCGCCATTCCCGCTGCGCTGCAGCTTCAGCAGCAGCAGCTGCTGCAGTGGCAGCAGCAGCAGCAGCAGCAGCAGCAGCAGCAGCGGCGGCAGCGGCAGCGGTAGCGGCAGCAAGGCCAGCGGGACAGACACACAGGAGGGGAATGGCGGCGGCGGTGCAGCAGCAACAGCAGCAACAGCAACAGCAACAGCAGCAGCAACAGCAGCAGCAGCAGCAGCAACAGCAGCAGCGCAGCAACGCACACACTTAGTCTTAGGAACAAAGACGAACCGCAGCAGCAGCAAAGGGCCCCCTAAGCTGGGGTCCTGAGGGGCCCCCATGCTGCTGCTTTGCATTAGGGGTGCAGCAAATTAGGGGCCCCAGGGGCTCGGGTACCTGGGGGCCTTGGGGGCCCCTCAGCTCTGGGGGGCCCTTTTGGGTCGGGGGGCCCCTCAGGGTCTGGGGGCCCCTTAGGGTTTGGGGGCCCCTTGAGTGGGGCTGGCCACTTGAGTAGGGGTTTAGGAGCAGTAATACAGCGAGGGAAGCAGCAGCAGCAGCAGCAGCAGCAGCAGCAGCAGCAGCGGCAGCAGCAGCAGCAGCAGCAGCAGAAACGGCGGCAGCAGCAACTCAGTCTGCCCTTTTCAAGAAATGCAGCCGGGCTCTCCCTGCATCAACGGGGCCCCCCCAGGAAGCTGTGAGGGGCCCCCCGGCAGCAGCAGCAGCAGCAGCAGCTGCAGCAGCAGCAGCAGCAGCAGCGGCGGCGAAGGGCCCTCGGACGCTGCAGCGTGCGCGGCTGCAGCTGCGGACTCCCCAGCAGCAGCCGCTGCTGCTGCTGCTGGGGCAGCAGCAGCAGCAGCAGCAGCAGCAGCAGCAAAGACAGGAGGAGATGGCGGAAGCACAGAGACAACATCTCTCAGAGTTTCCCCAGAACAAAAAAGGTCAAGAGAGAGGGGCCCCCGGGCCTCGCTGTGGAGTCCGGGGGCCCCCCGGGGGCCCCGCCGGCGGTCACCCCACAGAAGGGGCCCCTCGGGGGGGAGACGATCCCCGGGGAGACGATCCCAGGGGATCCGATCCCAGGGGATCCGATCCCCAGAGCGGGGGGCGTACCGGCGGGGCTCTGGGGATCGATCCCCGCGGAGACGATCCCCGCGGAGACGATCCCAGGGGAGGCGATCCCAGGAAAGACGATCCCGGGGGAGGCGATCCCAGGAAAGACGATCCCAGGGGAGGCGATCCCAGGAAAAGCGATCCCAGGCGAGACGATCCCAGGAAAGACGATCCCAGGAGCGGCCCAAGCGATCCCGCCACGGCTCTTCGCGGCAGGGGAAGGAAGGGAGACGATCCCAGGAAAGGCGATCCCAGGGGAGGCGATCCCAGGAAAGACGATCCCAGGAAAGACGATCCCAGGAAAAACGATCCCAGCGCCGCCAAGGCTCCCCCCCGGCCCGCCGCTCCCCCGGGAGACGTGTGGGGCCCCACAGGGGATCGTCTCCCCAAAGACGATCCCCGAAGTGGTCCCCTGTGGGGCCCCACAGGCCCGCCAAAAGAGGGTCTCTGCGCAGGTCGAGGTCTCGCGAGGGCCCCTGGGGGGCCCCCCGGGGGCCCCGCAGCTCCCCCAAGACCCGATCCCCTGGGAGACGACCCCACAGACGATCCCCAGGCGGCCCCACAAGGCGATCCCGATCCCGGGACAGGCCCAGGCCCAGAAGCCCCACAAGGCGATCCCGATCCAAGGGGACTCGGTCTCCGCGGAGGCGATCCCCGGATAGACGATCCCCCGCCAGGCGCTCCGCAGCCCAGCAGCAGCAGCAGCAGCAGCAGCAGCAGCAGCAGCAGCAGCAGCAGCGGGGCAGCAAGGGGGGGCCCAGGAGCGGCCCCACACCTGCGCACGACGCCCCAGGGGGCCCCCAGGAGGGGCCCCCTTTGTGGAGCAGCAAGGAGGAAGCCAAGTCTGCGAGGTCACCTCCCCGAAAGGAGCAGCAGCAGCAGCAGCAGCAGCAGCAGCAGCAGCAGCAGTGGAGCTTCACAGAGTCAGCAGCAGCAGCAGCAGCAGCAAATCTGGCGGCCTCGACTGGTGCAGTGTCCAAGTGCAGCATTGGCGACGTCGCAGGCTATGTGGCTCGCGAAGAAGGGGCAGCAGCAGCAACAACAGGAGCAGCAGCAGCAGCAGCAGCTGCTGCTGCTGCAGCTGCTGGAGCACCAGGCGCTACAGCAGCTCCCCTCAGCCAGTTCCTGAATTACCCGGACAGACCGCCGGCTGCTGCTGCGACTCCTGCTGCTGCAGCATCTGCTGCTGCAGCCTCTGCCGCCGCAATGTCTGCTGCGGTTTCTGCTGCAGCTTCTGCTGCAGCTCTTGGCGCCGACATTCCCGTTGCTGCAGCAGCAGCTGCTGCAGCAGCAGCAGCAGCTGCTGCTGCTGCAGAGGGTGCACCGGCTGCAAGCCCGCAAGCTGCGCTGGTGTCTTCTGCAGAGGGCTGGAGGGAACAGGGCGGCTGGTGCTACATTCCTAAAGATAAGATGCCTCACTTCATTGGCAGCAGCAGCAGCAGCAGCAGCAGCAGCAGCAGCAGCAGCAGCAGGGACACGGGCAGCAGCAAACGACAGCCTTGGTATCAGGCGCAGCAGCGACGGCAGCCGCCGCCACCCTCGCAGCAGCACCTGGCGCAACAGGAGCAGCAGCAGCAGCAACAGCTGCAGCAGCAGCAGCAGCAACAGCAGCAGCACCACATGCAACAGCTGCAGCAGCAGCACCTTAGTCAGCCGGAGCAGCAGCACCCCGTGTCAGTGCCCATGTGGTCTGGTGGAAGCGGACAAACAATTGAAGCAGCTGCAGCAGCGGCAGCAGCAGCAGCAGCAGTTGCAGCAGCAGCAGCAGCAGCGCAGACGCAAGGCACTGGCTGGGGCTCAGGCCTTTCTGCTGATTCTGGTAGAAGTGGGCTAGATAAGCCGTGGGAACAGTTGCCGGGACAGCAGCAACTGCTGCAGCAGCAGTTGCACCTGCTGCAGCAGCAGCAACAGCATATTCAGCAGCAGCAGCTGCAGCAGCAGTTGCAGCACCAGCAACTGCAGCAGCAGCAACTGCAGCAGCAGCAGCTTCAGCAGCAGCAACTGCAGCAGCAGCAGCTTCAGCAGCAGCAGCTCCAACAACAGCAACTGCAGCAGCAGCAACTGCAGCAGCAGCATCTGCAGCAGCAGCAACTGCAGCAGCAGCAACTGCAGCAGCAGCAACTGCAGCAGCAGCGACTGCAGCAAAACCAGGCACAACAAGTACTTCAGCAGCACGTTCACCTGCTGCAGCAGCAACAGCTGCAGCAGCGAGGACGGCAGCAGCAGCAGCAGCAGCAGCAGCAGCACGTCCCTCGTAGCTACGTCTCCCCTTCTCAGCGGCTCTTCTCACCCCGTGGTGAGGCTTTGGCTGCGCCGCAGCAACGGGAATCGGGGGCGCCTGCTGCACCTGCCACGCAGCAGCTGCAGCAACAGCAGCAGCAGCAACAACAGCAGCAGCAGCAGCAGCAGCTGCTGCTGCAGCAACAGCAGCAGCAGCTGCAGCAACAGCAGCAGCAGCAGCAGCAGCAACAGCGGCAGCAGCAGCAGCAACAGCGGCAGCAGCAGCAGGAGCTGAAAAGCGATAGGGAAGAAATGTGGAGGAAGCGGAAGGCTGAAGGGGTTGAAGGCGGAGCAGCGCCCGCAGCAGCTGCTGCACCGGGTGCTGCCGTCCCTGCAGCAGCAACAGCAGCAGCAGCATCAGCTGCTGCTGCTGCTGCTGCTGCTGCAGCACCGAAAGAGAGAGAAGAACCCTCAACAGAAGAGGGTCAGGGGCTGCGGGGCGCGCTGTGTTGCTTCCACCGGGCGCACGGTGGCAGCAGCGGGGCGTCTTCCAGTGCGTCAGCAGCAGCAGCAGCAGCAGCAGCAGCAGCAGCAGCAGCAGCAGAACGGACAGAAGCAGCAGAAAGACGCCGCGAGAGCAGCAGACAAAATGACTTCATCAAACAAATGCTCAGAAGCACCAGCCTCCGCAGCCAGCTAGCGCTAGCTGGCTGCGAGGGGGCTTGGGGGACATGGGACGACGAGGAGGACTTGGAGGACCCTGCAGCAGCAGCAGCAGCAGCAGCAGCAGCAACGGCAGCAGACGCAGCAGCAGCAGCAGCTTTCGAGGGGGATCGCACGCTTCAAGAGATCCTCAAGCTCTGCAGCCCCACGCAGCAAACCACGCCGCTGCCGGTCCCCCCTTTTTGCGAAGAAGCAGTGAAGGGCCAAGAGGGGGCAGCAGCAGGTGCTGCTGCTGCTGCTGCTGCTGCTGCTGCAGCAGAAGCAGGAGCAGTAGGGGCAGCTGCAGCAGGCACTGCTGCGGATAGCTCGGCGGCAGCCACGCAGGGAGACACGCAGCCGCACTCTCAGAGCGCTGCAAGGGATGCGTTGTTTGCTGCTGCTGCTGCTGCTTGCCGGCAGCTGCTCGCGGCGACCCCTGCAGCAGCAGCAGCAGCACCATCTGCTGCTGTTGCTGCTGCTGGTGGAGCTGCTTCTCTAACAGCTAGAGGCAGAGTCCCCGCAAGCAGCAGCCAAGGGGCACCCGCAGCAGCTCCGGAGAGCAGCAGCAGCAGCAGCAGCAGCAGCAGCAGCAGCAGCAGCGGCCCCTGTGTGGCAGCGGGTAAGGCGGCGTTTCCGGCGGCAGGCGCAGCCACAACTGCTGCTGCTGCTGCTGCTGCACGGCTGGTGCGTTCAGTTGTGGCCAGTTCTGCTGCTGCTGCAGCGCAGCACTCAGAAGAGGCGACGGAAGAAGCAGTAGTTGCTGTTGCCCGAGCTGCCCTAAACGGGGTCTTTGCCCCTCGCTTCAGGCTGAGTTCCCAGCAGCAGCAGCAGCAGCAGCAGCAGCAGCAGCAGCAGCAGCGGCAGCAGCAGGGCGGCGAGGACGGCAGCATAAGCCTGCTGCAGTCCATGCCGAGCACAGCGAACCTGCCGCTGTTCTGCGGCCCCAGCGAGCGCAGCAGCGCAGCAGCAGCAGCAGCAGCGAAAGCCGCAGCCGCAGCAGCAGGACCGAGAGCAGCAGCAGCAGCCGGCCCAACTGCAACGCCAGCGCCAGCACCAGCAGCAGCAGCAGCAGCAGCAGCAGCAGCAGCAGCGCGCCGCAGCAGCCCCGCGGAGGAAGCAGCAAACCCCCGAGCAGCAGGAGAAGCCCGCCTAGTCACTGGGGACTCGGGGGCCCCCGGGGTCTTTGTTGCTGCGCATGCATTTGAGTTGGGGGCCCCCTGTGGGGTTGTGGGGTGTCTGCAGATACACCCCAGAGAGCCAGCCCTTGCTGCAGCAGCAGCGCTCTCCGGGGAGGTGCTGCTGCTCGACTTGGAGGGGCTGCGCATCCGCTCCGCGCTGCTGCCCCGCAGCAGCAGCAGCAGCAGCAGCAGCAGCAGCAGCAGCAGCAGCTGCAGCAGCCTGGCCTGGCTCGAGGCCCAGGGCCTCGTTGCTGTTGGCAGCAGCAGCGGCTGCCTTCGCCTCCTCGACCCCAGAGTGGGCCAGGAGGTCCTTTCCTGGCAGGCGCAGAAGGGGCCTCTGGACTCCCTCAACGTCATTGGCCCTTACGGTCAGCTGCTGCTGCTGCTGCTGCTGCTGCTGCTGCTGCTGCTGCTGCTGCTGCTGCTGCTGCTGCTGCTGCTGCTTGTGGTGCTGCTGCTGCTGCTTCTGGTGCTGCTGCTGCTGCTTCTGGCGCTGTTGCTGCTGTTGATGCTGCCTTTAACTTTGCTGCTGGGGCTGTTGCTGCCGCTCCGTGCGTCGCTGCAGCTCCGCTGCTGCTGCTGCTACCCCCGTGCTGCTGCTGCTGCTGCTGCTGCTGCTGCTGCTGAGTGTCGCTGCGGACTTGTGCGTGGCTGCAGTGTGCGCCTCGGCCTCCTCGCGCGAAGCCTTTTTGAACTTCTGGGACTTGCGGCTGCCGCCCCGGGATCGACTCGATCCCATCGATCCCAACGATCCCACGCAGCCCCAGGGCTGGTGGTGGGGGGGCCCCCCGGGGGCCCCCCGCAGGGTTTTGTCTTGCATGCGTTTTGAAGATGGAGTTTCTGCTGTTGCTGTTTCCCCCGACGACTCTTGTTTTGCTGCTGCCACGCTCGGCGGAGACGTCGCGGTGCGTTTAGGGTTTAGGGTTTAGGGTTTAGGGTTTAGGGTTTAGGGTTTAGGGGTGCTGTTAGCTGCTTCTTGCTTGTCTTGTTCGTTTTCTGCGCAGCAGTTTGTTCTTTGTGGGGAGTGTCTGCACAGCTGCTGCTGCTCGTGCGTGTTGCCTGTGAGTGCCGCTTTCGCCGACTTGCTGCTGCTGCTGCTGCTGCTGCTGCTGCTGCTGCTGCAGCTGCTGTCGCTGCCGCTGTCGCCGCACCCCTGCGAGCCGCTGCTGTCCTTCCCCTCCACCCACGAGCTCACAGTTTATACCTCTTTGGCCTTCACGGCCAACGGCAGGGCCCTTTGCGTGGCTGGGGAGCGCCAGCACTCCCAAAGAGTCAGAGAAGCAACGGGTGCGTGCTGCTGCTGCTGCTGCTGCTGCTGCTGCTGCTGCTGCTGCTGCTGCTGCTGCTGCTGC